AGTGTGCGGACCATTTTCATTGATTTAGTGCTCTGTGAACACAAATTAGTTAGCATAAATCAGTTAAATGACGAAAAATTAGGTGTCTATTTACTTGTGACCACTCAGTGTACACATTTTGCAAAACAAAAACACACACCCATAAACTTACAAAAGACATCGGGTTATCTGCGCTAGCGGTTCCTAATTTTGTAGCGATATACTAGGCAGTTACTCAACACCGTTCACCGCCAAGTCTTGGGCTACTTTTACCGACGAATTTGTGGGATTGACCGTCAATAACGCCCCATCAACTGAAATGGTGAGCACATTCAGTAGCAGGGCTGGATCTCGTGACCCGCAGATTGCAAGTCAAGTGTCAAACGCAGACGTTTTAAATACTGATTTATTAGGTTTGATTTAATTTCCAAATAGCAATGGAGCTGTAAGCAAAGCTAAAACTTAAGGTTTGCGCTTGTTTAGATTTCTTGGTTAATTAAGCCACGTTCAGTAATACGGTGAGAAGAGGCACAGATAACTTTAATGTGCAGCCTTGCGATTGACAACAAACAAACCATTTTCATAATGTTTTTCTTCACCGTGAATGTTCTTTCGTTTTATCTTTATATTTATCTGATATTGAGAGTGAAAAAATATAAAAGTTAGGTTTGTGTTAAGAGGAAATGCAACCTTATCGACATCCTTTTAATACGAGCAATATAGAATTTCAATATTTTATGTAAAGTGAAAGAAGTCAGACTTTTTACAGAAGATATTACATTTTACCCGTAATCATGAAATAATGATGTAATGGTCGAGAAACTGTAAAATATTGAGAAACAAGGATGCAATTTTGAATACGAGTTAACAGTTAATTACAGTACCAATCATTCAGTGATTGGGAAGTTAATCAAATATTTAAATTAGTGGCAGTTATCGCAAATATTAATCGTGAAATTGTACAAGTAAATTTAAGTGCAATGTAAATACTGGCAATAGTTACCTTAACACATTGTGAACAGGTCAGAGTGTCTTTGTGTGCCATTTATTAAAACGTTGCGTTTGAAAGGAGCCAAACGTGTTTTATTTTGTTCCGGGCGGTTATTTTTTTTTCTGATTTTTGCCTACAATACCCATATTTTTTTATAAATGGCTTCTCAAAGAAAACGTAACATGAAGATGAGATAATTACTGAACTATTTGATGATAATTTGTCAGATCTTCCAAGAGAAGGTGAGGATTCTGATGTGGATGTGTTTGTGGATCATTCTGACAGAGAGACTAGCTACAGTGACGTTGTTAGATTTACAAAGATAAGTAAAATTGTTGTGCTCTCAACTGAATCTGAATCAGAAAGTGATAATGATTCTACAAATGTTCCTGTTAGTGATTTGTTTTCCCGTTGTGATAATTGGTCAGAAATAGATATTCCATCGAACTTGGAAATATTGCTGCCGTGACAAGTCTAATGTATGATGATGACTTGTTTGAAATGTTTTATCAGGAAATATGTACCTACCATAATCAAACTGCAGAGAAACATAAAATGCCATCTAAAGGAGTTCAACGGTCTGAAGTTACACGTACAGACATGAGGAAATTCATAGGCCTTATTCTACTAATGAGACAGACAAGGAAATATTACTGGTCAACAGATCCTCTTTTAATTAGCCCAATATTTTCGCAGACAAAGAGCCGAAACAGATTTCAACAAATTTTGGCATTTCAGTGATAATCATAAAATGGATGATCTTCAGGCAGGCTCTTCAAAATTCAACCAGTACTGGATTATTTTCTCAATAAATTCAGGACACTATACAAACCAAAGCAACAGTTGTCATTGTATGAGGTCATGATTCCATGGAGAGGACGTCCAAGATTCTGAACATACAACTCTGAACAATTATTACAACAATACTTCTATTGCATACCTGTTCCTAGAACATAAAACAAGAGTCTGCGGAACAATCAGAGTGTTGCTGCCAAGCTGGAAGTTTCAACAATGAAAAAAGGTGAAACAGCTTTCTGTAGAAAAGGTGATGTTCTCGTTTTCATATAGAAAAACAAGAGAGAAGTGAGAATGGTTTCAACCATCCATGACTCACCTGTTTCTACCACAGGAAAGGAAAATAGAATAACTGGAGAATAAATTTAAAAACTTGTGTATGTGTTCTCCAGTATAATGCCCACATTAAAGGTGTTGATCGTGCAAATCAGTACCTCTCATACTATACCATTCTCAGAAAAACTGAAATGGACAAAAACGGTAGTACTTTATCTAATAAATTGCGGTATTTTCAATTTATATATAATCTACAAAGCCCTGAATCAACAGAAAAAATAAAATATAAGCAGTTCCCCCTTGCTGTGGCAAGAGAATGGATTACTGACAAAGAGGAAAAAAGGCTTACTGGAACTAGAGAGGAACGAACCCGGTCCATCATCTGAAGGTACAAGGAGAGCCCCACATAAGGATCCCCCAGGAAGACTGTCTGGTGACACGAAGCAGCATATTTCTGTGTTCATTTCATCTACATGAAAAAATACATTTCCTAGCAGAGCCTGCAGAGTTTGTACTGCCCATGGAAAACGAAGTGAAACGCGATACATATGGAAGTTTTGTGCGGTTCCACTCCATATAGGAAAATGTTTTATAGGATACCACACTAAATATTTACTAGGTGTCTTTATGTACATATTCTGGAAGTTTCAAATAAGTAATAAAAAACATAGTTGAGTTATTAACAAAATAAAACGCGTCCAACTCCATTCAAACTCAACGTTTTAATAAATGGCACACAAAGACGCTCTGCACGAAACACGAGTAAACTCGTAACCCGTCAGCAATGTGTTAAAGTTATTTCATTACTATCAGAGATCCGCAAAACATTTGCAGTCATTTTTACATTTTATCTACAGAGAGGCCTCAAGCTAGGCATATCTTAGGGCCTCAGCATGTTTAAGTCCGCTTCTAATGTTCACCATGAGTTAAGCGTAAAATGTCCAGTTTCTACCTAATATCCAACCAAGTGATTTGCAACATTACAGGATAACCTTTGTGAAGACTTCTTGAACGCGTTGATACAATTTATTCATACCAGAGTAAAAAATGTGACTTTATGAAGCCACATTTTAAAAAAATACGAATGGGTATAATGTTCCAGAAAACGCATGGGCCAGCTGATCGGGCCTCCTCCGCTCATTCGACCGACAGGGGAGTGTTTCATCAAGTTTGTTACGAAAGATAAGGTTCTAGTTTGTTTTTTTTTCTTTGGGGGGGCGTCTTAGTGGAATAACACGTTAATAACATCTGTAGAGCTCTAGAAAAATGTTAAGCGTTATTCAAGCACATTCAACCAACCGTTTATCTCTATATGATATGATATGAACTAAACAACTAAGTCAAAGACCCGAATGATTCAGGAATAGCTGTCAATAAT